CAAGGTCGAGGTGGACAAGGAAGTGAGTCCAAGTCGTCGCCTGCGCCGCAACAGTCCATGCACGAGCGTGTCCAGCACCAGGAAGACGAGCAGATCCAGCACTGGAAACAGCTGCAGCAGCTCAAACAACTCCGCCAACTCCAACAACTCCAGCAGCAACTGCAGGAGAAGCAGCAGCTGCAGAGCTTGCTGGAGAAACAGTTGATGCTCCAGCAGAAGCAGGAGCAGAAGCTCATGGCAAGCCACAAGGACAAGGAAGAGGACAGCACCCGCCTTGAACAGAAGGAGCAAAGCCAGCCGAAGGCCACCAAGAAAGGGGACAGCGTTCGGAAAGAGCAGACCGACGACACCCCATCGCACCTTCCGCAGCAGACTCAAACGCACCTTCCCGCACATACGACGCCGCTCCTTCCCCAGCAGAAGCAGCAGAAGCAGCAGATGCAGCAGATGCAACAGAATCACCTCTCTGTTGACGCCCCCAGCAACTACGGCCACCGCGATAGCTACGGTAGTCTCTACGACTCCTACAACTACGGCTACCACCGCTACAGCCACGACTCGAACCGCTCCAACGTCTCCGCCATCACCAACACAGACATCGACGACGGTGCTAGCAGCATCGCTGGCGGCGGAGGAGGAGGAGGAGGAGGCCCGCGTGGCCGCCAGCAGTCGGTCGTCACCATGGCCACATCCGTCACCTCGTCTGGCGGTCCGGGGTGCCGCTTCTCGTCGCAATCGACGCGCACCACGCCGTCAGCCTTGGGCCAGTATGCCAAGAGCGGCCTCGCTGGCTCGTCGCAACGCGAATCCGTGGCCACGACCGCATCGTCAGGCGACCGTCACGTCGAGTTCAGCCTCGACACCAGCCGGCGCGGTAGCACCAAGGCCGTCACCGACAACACATCGGACGGCAGCGATGACGTGGCGAGTGGCGTTCAGGAGGAGAACGCCAGCAAGGTCAAGAGCGCCCAGGACAAGGAATATGGTTGGCCCCTGAGCCGCAACAAGTCGAACAATCGTGAAGGTGCCGTCTCACAGTCTAGTTGGATGCGTTTTGACGACGACGATGACAACGACGGCGCCGACGCCGACAAGGATGAGACGTACAGTGACATCAAGAACACGACCGGTGTCAGCAGCAACCGCCCTGTACCCCATGTCGACTCCGCGGCCGAATCTAAAAGCATCGTCATCTCGCCTGTGAACTTCGGAGGCCTTCCCCAGCGACCCAAGACGGCCGTCGGCCCCATGAACGGTGCACCTGCTACCGATTTTCGTGCGATCAACGATCATGCCGCCGAGAAACAGAACGGCCAGAAGATTCAGGCTTTAATCATCCCGGGTGAGCCAGTATCATCAACGTTCACCGACGTGCCCCAGCGTCTCTCCTCCCTCAGCCACCAGGATCGGAAAGCTTTGCCGATCCGGGAACACGACTCTGAACAACAAAACAAGGCTCACCATAACCATGAACACAAGCTTCGGCATTTCCTGTCCTTTAGCGACGTGTCTGTTTTCAGTGAAGCGCCTCGTGGCAGGAGAGCCGACGCACTGAATGACCGCCCCCGAACGAGCTCCTCATCTCAATATCAGATGCGGCCTGACTATGCCGTCACAGAACGCCGCAGCCGCTTTGATACAGAGAGCATTGTCGACCCTGAGGAGCCTCCTGTCTTATTGGAGAAGACCGTCTACCGCAAGCCCGTTGCACGGACACGCACGCCTCTCGACATGCCACCCATTCAGAAGGCTGCCCACAAGTCCACCCCAAGTGAGCACCTCATCCGCCGTGGTCGCGAAGTCTTTTCCGTTACTCGCAGTGGCGTCAATGATAACGTTGGCGACAACACCCACGATGCGAGCAAACAGCCTTTTGTCGAGCCGCTCCTTGTCAGCCAGTTTGACGACGACAGCGACGGCGACCATCACACAGGTGCCGCTTCTGACCACGACGACGACGACGACTGCGAAATCGAAAAGCACCTGGCCGAAAACGACGCCGATCTCTTTGGTGACTTTGAGGGCGCCTACAACTACGACGAGGGCCAAGACAAGATCATGCTGGCGACCATGATGCCCTTTTCCAAGCAGCCGCCGCGCTCCGTCCGCTCCATTCGGTCGGTGTCACCGGGCCGCCCGCTTGACGCGCTACCAGAGCTCCACGAACGCCCTGTCATTGCGTCCGTGGCCGCTCTCGTGGAGAACCCTGAAGAGACCTCGTCGCACCTGCAGTCATGGATCGAGCACGCGTCGAAGAGCCAGCTCGAGTTGGCACAAGAACAGCAGCAGCAGCAGCAGAAGCAACACAGTCGTTCTGCTGCCCCTCGTACGCGGGAGGCTATCTACGACGACGACGATCAGCATGCGGACGAGGCACGCGATGTCGTGCCCGAATCGATTGAGGCGCCAAATGTCCGCCCAAGAACAGCACCCAACGCAGCCGCACCGGAAGCTGCGTCCCCCAGTGCCGCTGCCACAACGGGCCAGTACGAGCTACAGTCGGCTCTACAGCAGGCCCAGCCCGTCCCGCTTCAGTTCTTCTCACAACCGGGCACCGTCGGCATTCCCCTGCCACGTGAAGTCGTCGACACGCTCCGTGTTTCTGTCTCTTGCTTCCCTGAGACTATGCTAAATCTGTCGAGCTTCTCTATCCAGACCATCCGCACCTACTCGCGCAAGGTCCGCCGTTGCAGCCAGACCGATGCCGACAGCACGTACCGTCTCCTGATGGCGCCCCAGTCGCCGGGAACCCTGCCTCCGAGCCCTACGTCCATGGCACACGGCATCCCGCCACTGTCGCCGACGTCGCCCACTAGCATGTCGTTTGACCTTGGGACGGGCGTCTCGCGGACCATGACGGCTCCTTCATTGGCATCGAACTCATCGCACCGCTTCTGGAAACTGCCCAAGAAGATTGCCAACAACACTCGCTCGGCCGCACCCAACTTGCACCTGTTTACCAACTTCCGGTCGTCAAACAGCTCTAGCAACATTGGCGGCCTCAACGATAGCTCTAACAAAGAGTACCCAGCGTCTCCAACCGCGAGCATGACTCCTTCGATGCCGCGCCTGTCAACCACTGGCCGTCATGGCAGTAGCCGCACCGAGAACAACTTCATGTCAATGTCCAGTGGTGGCATCGGCGAAGGCGACCAGCAGGGCAAGGCCAGCTTCCTCTCCCTGAAGCGCATCTTCCCCACTGGCTCCGACTATCTGTGCGAAGCATTGTATGCCCACATTATTGCCTTCAACTACATTAGCCTCCTGTGCCCGCCGCCGCCTTCAGCAGCGTCCGAGGATGCTGCGGCGGGGGTCGATGCTCGCGTCGTCCCTGGTGTCGCCCAACCGTCTTCGAGTGATGCTGTCACGACTTCCCACACCATGACGACGGTGGCCTCCTCGGCGACTCTGATTGAGACAACCCAGCAACAGCGTCGTCAGACGATTCGTATCTACGTTGGCTCCGACGTGCCTCTCCCTGCCATGTCGGATGATGGTCCCTCGTCGAGCGACCATGGCACGCGGTCACGGCACCAGCCGCTCGAGGAACTGGACGAGATGCGCCTTAATGCCAACACATCCTCTCGCCTGCTGTCCATGTCGTCGTCGCGGCCGCCGTCGCGCGGGTACAGCGCCCACGACAACAACGATGACGCTCGCATGATCTCGCGCAAGGCTGCTCTCCTCTTGGGCATCACCGAGACTCTGGAGCCAGAGACGGCCAGCATGGGCGGTCCCAGTAGCGTCAACGGCCACGGTCGTGGCAAGAAGCCGTCAACAGCCTCGGGTGGTGCGTCTGAGCTCTCGTCGCCGACGTCACTACGCAGCAGCAGCTTGGTCCGCCGTTACAACTCGATGCGCCGCCGCATGGCCCAGTCCATTTCGGAGTCAGCTGAGGCTGCTGCAGCCTCAGCGGCTGATCCCAATGACCATTCCTTTGCTGCCCGTGCCACCCGTGCTGCTGTGGCGTCTAAGATGATTATGAAGTCTCTGCCGGGCAGCATAAGCGGCGGCAACAACAACAGCAACAACTATTCCAAACCAAAGTCGGTCGAGATTAGCAAGCCGTTTTACGAGGCCGCGGACGTGCCCATCCCGACCGAAGGAGTCCCCGCTACGGTTGCCGCTGCTACTGCTGCTGCAGTGGCTACCGCCGCTTCCGATGCGTCGATGCGCGACCTCCACGCTGGCCTGCACGCCTGCATCAGCCAGCTGGTTGCCACAATGAAGCTGACGACGGGGCAGCTGGGCAACACGCTGCTCAACACCGAGGCCGCGCGTGCCATTGACCCACTGTTCCTGCGCACGCTGTGCGAGTTGGTGCGCTCGCAGGAAGAGCAGTTTTAGGTCTCTCGGCCTTTGCGTTCTCTCTTTCTTCTTTCTCTAATCTACGATGCTTTCTTTTGTCAGATTGTTTTGTCTTTTTTTTATTTTCGCACATTGTCTACTGCCTTGTTTTGTTTATTTCTGATTTCTTTCAATGTGCGTATTTATCGATTTACTTATGTTTTGGCAACCAATATTATGGAAGACATGGGGAAATGAATACGACGGCCACGTCACGGATGAAATGGATGGACAGGAATGCGAATACCAAACCGGTGATGGAGGGAAATACCACGTTCTGCAAAGAGGTTTTGCTTTTGCATTTGTCGTTTTCTAGTCACTTTTCTTGCAACGCTTGTTCTTTGTCGTTGAAAATCGTATTGGATACTTTGCTCCCTATTTAATACATTATACCTTTGCAATACTCAAGCGCTTTCTTGCTGCTACAAAGTCCTATCTTAGAGGCTGTGATGCCATTGTAATTCAAAACACGTTGTCGTTATTCTAAGTCAAACAGCTCCATAATGAAATCGGTAACCTCGGTGGCATCGCAGCAGCCACTGACCCGACACGGCCAACGGCTGTATCTGCAGGCCGACGCCGTGTCGTACGATTTGCTCAAACAAGGTACGCGGATGCGCCGGGTTACACCGGCAGTAGTCTCTCCAGGCCGTCTAAGCAGCGCCAAAGTTGCCATCGTCTACCAGGCCCGCCGATCGGAACTGGCCCCGAAGCCCTCGTGACCGCTGACCTTGCGGCGTCCTTGGAAAGAAGCTGCCCGCGCCGGTATTTCCGCTGTGCCCCTGGTTCCTGGAACCAGCAAAACCAACAATGTCGTTGGCGGCTGTGCGCAGCGACAGCGCTGTGCTGTTGAACATGGCGGCTGCGAGGCCCGCCATGGCCGCGGACAGCTGGGCGAGGGCCTCGACGCGGTCGGCGTCGACCGTGGACGCCAGCTCGAGGATGCCGGTCTGCTGATCAATGGTGCCGGAGATGCGGCCGTCGATGATCAAGAAGCCTAGAATGTCCTGCACCTCGGCGTCGCTGATGCGGATCTGCTCGGCGATCCAGCGCGTGCGCAAGCGGGTGTAGGGCGCGATGATCTTGAGGACGGCCTTGGTGCGCATGTTCCGCGTGACCTCGTCAATGTTCTCGGCAATGAAGGCGTCCTGCAGCAGGTCGGGGTTGCGGTGCAGGACGTTCTCGTAGCGGTGGATGTCGTCGTGCTGGTAGGCCTCGACGAGGTCGGTCATGGCGGCGATGCGCGGGTCGTTGCGGTAGGGCTTGGTCTCCTGCGAGTCAAAGGGGTTGATGTTGGAGCGCATGAGCATGGTGGTCAGCAGCAGGTACTTGAGCACCTGGATGCGCTGCAGCGAGCCGGCCTCGTCGTAGTTGCGGAACGACTCGAAGAAGTCGCTCTGGGCGTCCTTCCAGTTCTCCTCGCTCATGTGCATCTTGCCGCCGCACTCGCGGATGATGCCCATGATCTTGGGGTGCGGCACGGCCGAGCGCACCGTCAGCGCGCGCTGGTACAGCTGCTTGAGCTGCTTGTTGTTCTTGCGCTCGGCGTACATCTGGATCTCGAGGGCGTAGATCTCGAGCAGGTACGTGCCCTTGGACGGGTCGTCGGAGCCGTCGGGCCGCTGGCAGGCGCGGTGCAGGTCGCGCAGCTTCTTCATGACGTCGACGTACCGCTGCCGGTCCAGCAGCAGCTTGGCCTGCTTGATGTTGGTCTTGAGCCACAGCCGCTCGTTGTTTGTGCTCTGGAAGCACGTCAGCGTCAGCTCGTAAAAGGCTTCCATGAAGTTGGTGGCGCGCTTGTCGCCGGCGGCGGCCGACGCGGCCGACGTCTTCTCGAAAAAGTCGAGCATGTTGTTGATGGACTTTTCCGAGTAGTTGCGCGTGACGGCCGACTTGACGTAGGTCAGCAGCTCCTTGTAGTGGGACACGGCTTCCTCGTAGCGCCCAAGCCGGAACTCGAGCTTGATGGCCTGCTTGAGGCCCTTGAAGCCCCAGTCGCCTTTTTCTGTCTCGAGCTCCGGCAGGCCGAGGAACTCGGTAATGGCCTCGTCTGGGTCGGACAGCTTCGTCTGCTTTGCATTGTAGTACTTGTTCTCGATCGTCACCTCGCCCGCATCCGGCTCGTCTTCGTCGTCCTCGTACTCGAAGTCATATTCCTCCTCGTCTGACTCCTGCATGAAGTCGTCGTCCGACATGTTGGCGACAGAGGCGGGTGGGGTAAGACGGAAGGATTGTACGACAGTCGAGGAGAGAGGGAAAGTCAGATGGATAGGAGGACAACAGTAGCAATGGTGCGGCTAGAGCGTGGCTAAGTATCGTGGAAGAAACTGGCCGGGGACGTTGTCGTGCGAAAAGTTCGTGATAGATGCAAACCAGAGGAAGCGGCGTCGAAAGGAAGGAAGTTGGGATTGAGAAGAGGGGACTGCTACAGTGGGCAGCCAAGCTCCAGAAAGCGGCTAGAGCTCCACTGGGGTAGCCAAGGTAGACGCCTGGAAAGAGCGCCCCGCTGTCATGGGTGCACGGGCCACTTTTCAGCCTGCTCCCATTTTTAGCGTGTGCACGTGCTTCTGGGAGGCAACTGCCAAACAGGCATTTCTTCCAGCCTTCTCTTGTTTTTGCCTCGTCCTTCTTTTTTCTTTTCCCCCAACAACCCCATCTCGACAATCACGGCCTTCCTGCAATCACCATGGGCAGCGGCGATCTCAACACGAAAAAGAGCTGGCACGTTGTCAACCTCAAGAACCAGCGACGAGTATGGGAGAGCGAGCAGGCGGCGCTGGCCGAGCGCAAAAAGGTCAATGAGCGCGTCGAAGAGCTGCGCAAAGAGCGCCAGGAGGAGGAGATTACACGGCAGCTCGAGGCGGCCGGCGGCACCAAGCGCGTCGACCGCGTCGACTGGATGTACCAGGGCCCCTCGACGGACAATGGCGGCATGGTGACGGAAGAGGCCGAGGCGTTCTTGCTGGGCAAGCGACGCATCGATGCGGTGCTGCGAGGCGACGAGCACAAGCAACTGGAGAAGAATGCAGTACCGGACCGGTTTGCGTCACTCGACGCGCCGTCGGCCGTTGGTGCGGCCGGCGCGCTGCCCACGGCAGCATCGGCGCGCGACATGGCCGCCAAAATCCGCGAAGACCCGCTGCTCGCCATCAAGCGCCAGGAACAACAGTCGTACGAGGCCATGGTCAACGACCCGATCCGGCGGCGACAGCTGATGGCGGCGATGGGCGTGGCGGGTGACGACAGCGGCGACCGAAAAAGAACCAGCCACAGCAGCAGCAGTCGACGGTCGCATCACCGAAGCAGCCACCATCGCAGCAGCCACCGAGACGATGACGACGAGCGGCGGCATAAGAGACGGCGGCGCGACGATTCGAGAGACCGTGACCTAGACCGGGACCGAGACCGTGACCGAGACCGGGAACGCGATCGTGACTCAAGACGAGCCCGGCGGGAATCACCAGACGACGACCGGCGAAGCTCGCGCCGCAATTATGACGACAGAGACAGGGACAGGGACGGGAGCCGGAGGGACGATGGAGGGCGCGACCGGTCGCGGGACAGGAGGCGAGATCGCAGTCCACGCGACCGCCGCGACCGTCGAAACCGGAGTCCTCGCTCACCATCACGTTCGCACTCCCGCTCGCCACCAAGACGCGAGCGGCCACGGGGAGAGAGAGACGACAATGGCGAGTTTTCACGACGGGAAGCTCTTGACCGCAACGGGGACCGAAACGGGGACCGAAACGGGGACCGAAACGGTGGCCGCGACACACGGCCGCACCGAGACAACCGCGAGGACAGAAATGGCCGTGATCGGCGGGACAACGGACGACCACCATACCGCAACGGCAACAACAACAGCGACGCAGACGAGCGCGCGCGCAAGCTGGCAGCGATGCAAGCCAACGCAGCTGATCTCGCCAAAGAGCGCGAGACACGGCTCGCCGAGATCGAGGCCAAGGAGGCAGCTGCACGGGAAGCCGACGACCGCGCGCGGGCCGACGATGCCAAACTGAGGGCGGGAACGGGCGCAGGCGCCATGACGTCGTCGTTCAGTACCAACTTGCGCAAAAAGGTCGGCGACATGGGTCTCGCGGAGAGCCTGGGACGCAGCCGGCAAGGACTGCAGCGAGACGAGGATTAGAAAGGTGGACGGTATCACGGCAGGCGTTTGCACTATTCGGTCATGAGCAGAGCATGCTTGGGTCAACGGAAGACTAGGAATTTTTGGTATCAAATCGTATGGACACGGTTCTAATGCAAAAAAAAAAAAATTTTTTTAAGAAAAATCGATCATGACGTAAACGGGACTTTTGTGCATATCCTCCACGAGCTTTACCTATACTTCTCATACTCGGCCGCCTCGTGCCGCCGCGCCTCGATGCGCGCCAGCGTGGCCTCGTCGTACAGGCTCGACAGCGGCTGGCCCTGGAACAGGATCTGGTCCTGGTGCCGGCTGGCCTCTTCGCGCGTCATGCACACAAGGTCGCCCAGGTGCAGGCGAGCCGTCTTCTGCTCGGCCTGCAGGGGCATGTCACCTTCGAGGTCTGCGGCCGCTGGGTGCACACGGTCCAGCAGGGACTCGACGATGCCGTCGGCGCCCTGGGCGCGTTGTGGCAGCTGCCAGCGGACAAGCGTCGTGCGCGTGGGCAGACCCGAAACGGCACTGCGGCCACGGTAGATTTCCTCGACAAGAAAGGCCACGTCGGCCGACGTCAAGGGCACGCGCAGGCCGACCGCGGCGGAGTTGGCATCATACGGCGTCGTCTTTTTCTCGTCCTTTTTGCTCTTCTTGTCCTTTTTGCTGTTGCTGTCGTCGGTGAGGGCAGTGTCGCCATTCGCCGTCTTGGTCTTGCTGGCCTCTTCAAAATGACGTATCATCTTCTCCTCAAAGCCGTGCACAGCCGCCAGGATCTGATCGTACATCTTGTCACGTCCCTTGACGGCCGCATAGTCGTGTGGGTAGCCTATATTGTCAGCATGGGGTCCTTTTTTTGAAAATTGAGGAAAAAAAATAGAAAGAAAATAAGAATCGAACGCAGGTGAACACACCAGAAAGGACCAAGAGAATATGGTTCGCCAGCGTGTAGCCAAACACCGCCGGCATCGTGCCCAGCACCGGCAGGATACGCACACGAAAGTCGGGCAGCGCACCTAGCTCACGCACTGCATCTTTGCCTTTGGCAAACTGCTCGTCCGGCAGCGGCAGCAGCGCAGCCTTCCCGTCGCCCGTCTCTGTGCGCTCCGTCGAGTACACGGCCGGAATGCCGCTCGTGATGCCCAACAGCTTGAGCCGCCGCCGCGTTGCACGTGACAGCCGGTCCTCGGCACTCGACCCGATGTCGCCGACCACCACCTTGGTCGGGTCGCTTTTGGTGCCGGCACCCATGGACGCGATAATAGGCAGCTTGTGCTCGTGGCAGTAGCGCAGCAGCTCGACCTTGGTGTCGATGTTGTCAATGGCGTCGACAATAAACGACACGGGACGCTCCTTGGTACTGTCAGCCCTCGCGCCCGACGCGCCCTCGACGTCCGCGTCCCGCCACGGGCCCAGGAGGCGCGCAGCCGACGCCTTGTCAAACTTCTCACCGCGCAAATCGAACCGCACCCACGGCGCCACGGCCAGCAGCCGTCGCGACAGGACGCGCACTTTGGGCCGGCCAACGTCGGCCAGCGTCGCCACGGCGTGCCGGTTGAGCGAGCTCAGTGACACCTGGTCAAAGTCGACGAGGCGGATGCGTGCCACGCCGCTGCGGGCGAGGGCGGCCGCGCAGTGCGAGCCGACCCCGCCGCAGCCAACAACCACCACGACGGCATCGCGCACGTTCTGCAGCCCTTGGGGCGTCAGGAACGCCTGGTTGCGCGTCAGCTGCTCCAGAATGACCTCTTCGGCGTAGTCGCCGGCCTGGGCGCGGCGGGCGAGGGCCAGGGCACGCAGCTCTTCCGGGTCTTCCGTCTCAACCACCTCGCCGAGGTCGTTGTGGTCGACGCCGCCGTTGGCCTGTGCCTTTCTAGACGCAGCCGTCTCGCCGCCAATCACCTCCGCGGCTTCCTCCGCGGCTTCCTCCGCGGCCACATCGTTGGCGACTGACCGCTTCAGACGACGCAGCCGTGACGCCTGGACGTTGTGCTGGACGCCCAAGAGCACGCCGACGGCGACCGCGCCCGACACAATCGCCGTCGCCGCCAGCTGCAGTGGCCGGCTGTGGCTGGCCTGGGCCAGGAGCGACGACATGGGGCCAACAGAGGGCGGAAACAGACTGAAAGAGACGAGACAAAAGAAAAGAGCTCGACGTGGTGTGAAGAGCCAATGGCTGCAGGAAAGCGTGTGTTGAGACAATGTCGCGTGCCGTGGATATGTCCAAATGGGAGCAGTAGGTCAAAATCTGAAGCGCCTTCCGTTTAGACGGAGTGTCCCCTCACGTCATCGGCCACTGCTAACGGCGGAATGTGCGCCCCTCACTAACAAAAATTCACAGGAAGGACAGAAAGCAGGCAGAAAAAAAGTTTCAGTGGGGAAGGGGCGCCAGAGCCGACCGCTAATGCTCTAACAACAGGAACAGATGGAAGGCACGTCTCAGCCTTGTTATGTTGCGGAGTCGAGTCTGAATCAACACAACGAATATGGAAGTTGTTAATGTTCTGCAATGATTCGAACCTTTTCCGATAGACACTTTATTTAATTTATCTTTAATAAAAATTCATGTTCCGGTGAAAGAAGAGCACATTCTCAAGAACACAGACACATAAAGCAGCTAGGCACCAAGCATTTACTGAAAAAAGGAAAATAGGTCGACATAATACTTTGAAATTAAAACGTTATAAAAACAATCAAAAGAGGGTGGTAGTAGAAGAAGAAGAGGGTGACGAAAGACGCAATAACAGGAAACAAAAGAGACAAGGCACAGGAGTGCAACTAGACAATACAACGCCGAAGCTCGTGTGAGGACGTGGAGCAACAAGAACCAAGCAGCCAAGTGAGACGCATGACACGACCACAGATGTCCTTCTTGCTCGGCCCTCATCTATTTTGTATACAATTTTTGTTTGCCAAGCGAAATATAGCAAGGCAACGCATTTCGAGGGAAACCAAAACAGGAGAGGACGGAACAGAAACCTGTGTCCAAGAAAGTGTCGAAAAACAGTGGCCGATGGTGGACAAAAGAAAGCATGATGTATGTTGGAGTGTAAGAGAAAGAAGTCGTTATGTGCAAGGAAAGAAGAGCACGGCCCAACGTCGAGGGCTCGAGGGCCGATGGCACAGCGGAAAAAGCAGAGACAGGAAACAGTGGGCGAGGCGGCCCCGGAGCGAGCGACCGCAGACGGGCGATAGTCGATAATCCAAAAAGGGTACAACGCAAGGGCGGGCAGAGCGAAGACACCCCCCGGTAGACGCGGCCCAGGACACAGGTATATGTACAACACAAGACAGAAGAAACCAGAGAGTTCGGCAGAAAGGTGGCGCGAGTGTCTCCCTCCCTTACATGATCGTGCAGCTGCTGCCTTCCCGGTCCTTCTTTACGCTCAGCGCCACACGCGCCGCCTCCGTGAAGGCCTCGTTGACGCCGCGGTTGCGCATGGCCGAGCATTCGAGGTAGCGCATCGCGTTAATGCGGCGGGCGACTTCGAGGCCCTGGTCGTAGTTGATCATCGGCTTCTTCTCGCGCGTTGCGCCGTTGCCGCCGGCAGCGCCCGCAGGGCTAATCTCGGAACCGTTGGCGATCGCATCCGGGTCCGTGCCACTCTTGGCGGCACCGCCTGTTGCTGCCGCATCGTCACCGTCCTCGTCGCCGCCCTCGCGCAGATCGCACTTGAGGGCAACCAGCACAAGCTTGACGCCAGGGCAGTTGTCGGCAATCTCGCCCACCCACTTGGACTCAACGTTCTCGAGCGAGTCTTTGCTGTCGACGCTGTAGCAGAGCATAATAAGGTCGGTGTCATCTGCGTGTGGAACGTCAGTAAGGAGGAGCACGGGAAAGCATGCGACAGGACTCGTAACCAATACAAAAAAAATTACTAACCATACGACAGACTGCGTAACCGGTCAAACTCCTCCTGGCCCGCTGTGTCCCAGAGCGACAGCTCAATGTGCACATTATCCACAAAGATGTCTACACAGTTCCCGCGTTAGCCCTCGTCCGTTTCGACGACCACAAGCTCTGCGCTGTTGTGCTCCAACATACCATGGACGTAGTTCTCGAAGACGGTAGGCTCGTAGACAGTCGGGAAGTAGCTAGAGAAAAAGAAAAAAAAGTATTGTGAGCATGGCGGAAAAGGTAGTGGAATCAAACGGAGCTGCGCGGGCAGCCGTCGGAAGCGAGCGTTCGGTCGCTTACCCTCTGGTAAAGACATTCAGCAATGACGTCTTGCCGCAAGCACCATCGCCTCTGTATGAAAGCCATTGTCAGCATCTCCGAGTGCATCTTCCGTCGTCTGCACAGCCGTCAAGCATTGCCGAGGCGCGATCCAACTCACAGCAAGACCAGCTTGCGCTGCACCGTTTTGGAGCCACCACACAGAAGCGGCATCGTGTCGACGTGAGGGAAGAGCGAGGTGCGGTTGTCGAGAGATTCGGGTCAAAGTCGTCAGAGAGAACCAGATGTTCGTCGCAGGGTAGGATTCGGTACCGTGGATCACGAAAGCGGTGATCGTTCCTGAATGCGCGCGAGCGCGTTTAAGGAGAAGATCGGAGGGGGATGCGTTGTGGTGGTGGTCGGCGAGCGGTAGCTGTCGAACCCAACAATCGACAATGCGAAGATGGCGAGCGAAGTCAAGTAGAGGGCAACGAGCGACTGCCGAGACGAGCAGTCGGAAAAGAGCGCGAGACAAGAGAAAGGGATGCAGAAACAAGAGGCGACTAGAGACAAGGTTTGTTTGGATTGGCGTTACGGCCCGCCAAAATGCTTGGAGGAGGGAGAGACTGACAAGTAAGGTATGGAGCACGGAGCACAAACACCTTCACACGCCGTAGAAAGAATGGAGCGAGAAGAGACACCTGACAAGGGTGGGTGAGAGGCGAGAGGATGGCCGGAAAATATGGAGAGGATGGCAAATGGACTGGGAGTCGGGAAGTGGAAAATGCAGATTTAAAATGAACTGGACAAGACAAGGAAACAGGCTCTGGCGTTGTCGCCAGAGGCGAGGGTTTGAGTAACAACGACATCCGCGCTGGGCGGGCAGGAGCGAGGCAAAAGGATGCGCGTTCCCCAAACAGGAAAGGGGGCGGTCCAGAAATTGAGCAATGGTTCAAGACAGAAGGAGCCACCAGCAAATCGACACTAGGAAGTCCAGGGGGCAAAGAAGATCGAACAGAAGCCCAAGAAGCATTATCCAGACAATTTGCTGATTGGGCCTTGTAAAACGAGGTATGTATTACTGGCAACGCCGGCACGCAGTCAGGCACTCACATACAGGACAACGGGATCCCCATTCCCAAATCATCGCGCCTAAATATAGCGAATGCGCCTTCCCGCTGGCGAGATGCAGGGTCATTGCACCCTGCGGCAGGCACGACGAGCAGTCAACGACACCGAAGAGAAAGAGCGACCAACACAGGCAAAACAGCGCCAAATACAGAAGGTACCTCCAGTGGCGCATCCGCCATACACAGGCTGCGACGTGTAAGTTACACACAGCACACAACAACTATTCCATATTTGCACAGAAAAGTGGGCGGTCGCCTTCGTGTTCTTATGTTTGCTGGCCAAAAGGACACGGTCGGAAACGAATGCAGATTGGTATTGGCCCCCCTGCACCCACACGACGTTGCGCGGTGAACGTGGAATGTGTCCTTAGTTGCGTGGCAGGAGCAACACAGGACTGCCACACCGTCTTCTTTCCCTTTTCGGGCAGAGGTACGACACGACTCAGCATCATAGGCGACGTACTGTGTGCTCCTTTATATCGAAAGATACCAAAGGATACTGAACGAAATACATCATCGGCGGGGGAATTATTAAATGAAATTAAATAAAATGGAACTCCATGCAGCGTATAAAAAAACACATGAATCCTACCACGCCCCTCCGTCCGTCATTTCCATGTATTGTTTTGTTTTAAAAGGTTCCATCCCAACAGACATGACAATATGAAAATAGAAAGACAAAAACATGGCACATGTACACAATTGCTCTCCTTGACGGACATCATTTTACTTTTTGGTATATCGTTGCTTACGCGCACGCTATCGTGGCTCTAAATGGTCATGTCGTCGTCTACATCACCGGGATGCCCTCAAACTCGTTGTAGCCGAGGGCCAGGTTCATGTTTTCTAAAATGGTCAGCAAGCGTAATGTATATTGTGGTCAGAGTGAGAGGAAACTTACGCAAACATTGCGTAGCGGCACCCTTCAGCAGGTTGTCGATCGTCACGCAGACAACAACGTGCCGGCCCGACGAGTGCACCGCAAAACCACCAATCTCGACACCGTGCTTGCCGCTGATCGACTTGACCAGTGGCGCCTCTCCGACCACCTTAACCAGCTTCTCGCCAGCGTAGCGGTCCTGGTAGATTTGCCGAATGTCGCGTGACGTGATGGCCGTCTTCAACGGGATGTGGATGGTGTGATGGATGCCCTGGAACCAGACGGCCACGTGGGGCGTGAACGCCACGTTGCAGCCAAGCTGGTAGCTAATCTCGCGCTCGTGGATGTGGTCCGTCAGGCTGTAGGGAATCAGGTTGTTCGTCAGCAGCTCAACGTCGTTCTTGGGCGAAGGCTTGGTGCCCGCGCCCGAGTAGCCGCTGACGCCGAAGATGACGGGCGTGCCGCTGAGATTGTCGAGCAAGGGCGCAATGCCCAGCTGAGCAGCTGTCGCGTAGCAGCCCGGGTTCGAGATGAGGCTGGCGTTCTGGATCTCGCCGCGCTTGACCAGCTCCGGCAGACCGTACGTCCACGTCTTGTCGAAGCGGTAGTCGGCCGACAGATCGACAATCACGCTCTTGTCCGCACCGGCGGTGTCGCGGCGCGCCTCCTGGATGGCGTCCACAAACGGCTTGCACACACCGTTGGGCAGAGCCATCACCCAGCAGTCGACCTCGTTGCGGCTCTCCATCTCGCGGATGTCCTCGGGGCTCAGGTTTTCGTATGTAATCGCGCTTTTATCATAGCCCTTGAGCTCTTGGCCCGCCAGCTCTCGCGAGCTGACGTGCGTCAGGTCCAGGTGCGGGTGCGCGTTCAGCAGCGCAATCAGCGCCTGGCCCGTGTAACCACGAGCGCCGATCAGGGCAACACGGGCTGCTCGGCTGTTGGTGGCGTTCTTCTTGCCAAGTGGCGGGTTGGGGTTCGTCGTGTCCTCGTCGATGCGGTTCGCCCGTGACGTGTGGAAGGCAGCGGCGGTAGTACGGCGACTGAAGAAGCGGGAAGAGGAGAAGGTCGAGAAGGAAGAGAAGGAAGAGGAGGCGGTGACGGGGCGGGGGGCGGCAGTAGAGAAGGCGCGGGCCTGCTGCTGCTGCAGGGGAGAAGACTGCTGGAAGGCGGCGTTGGTGGCAGCCTTGACCGCGGCCGCCGCACCGCCGTCGCTGCCGGCACGCTCGGCGGCGCGCTGCAGACGAGCCTCGAGGTTCGCATCGCCCAGCATGGAGCGGCCGTGCTCAGAGAAGTCCTTCATGACCTGGACAATCTCGTCGCCGTCCTCGACGCCGTACCAGAAAAGCACATTGCCGTTGCGGGCGACGCTGCCGTCGGCCTTGTCAAAGAACCAGGTCAGATTCTCGTCATTCTCGTTGACAGTCCAGATCAACTTGGGGAAGTCCTTGCGGATGGCCGTGAAGATGTTCTCGGCGACATTGCCCAGCCAGCCAGACTTGCTGATCGTCAGCGTGGCCAGAGTGGCAAATGGACGGTCGGCAGAGGGAGGGAAGGCAATAGCAAGAGCGTTCATCTGCTCGTCGTAGTAGGCGCGGAACGGGTTCTCGCGCAGGAACTCGACGTAGGTGTCCACGGTCTGGCGGGCGTTGGGGCCGTCGCGGTCACGCAGCAGGACCGTCTTGAGCTGCTCAATGTCGGAAAAGGCAGTGACGTCGCTGGCCGAGGCCAGCTTGGTACCACGGCGAATCAAAGTACCGGCACCGGAGTCGGTGAACAGCTCCTTGTGCAGGTCCTGGGGCCGGATGATGGCGACACTGGACTCGCGAGGCAGCGTATCGAGCAGATCCTTGATTTCCTTGATCTTGAGGCGTGTGCCGAACTTGCACCACGACTGGGCCATGTACCACTCAAACTCCTCGTCTAGGTTGATGGCCGAGATCTTGCCACCCTCGCCGTCAAAGAGGCCGCCCTTCTCGGACAGGTAGACGACCTTGAGCGGCTCCAGAGCGCGAGCCAGCTCGGCAGCAGCGACGTCCGCATTGACGTTCAGCAGCTGTCCAGACTCGGTCCAGGCAAGCGAGGTCAGGACGGGCAGGAAGCGGTTGTTGATGGCGGCCTCGACGACGTCCGTGGCGACGCGGTTGACCTTGCCCACAAAGCCCCACTTCTCCTGGTTCAGGTAGTCGGCATAGAAGACACCAGAGGTAATTGGGCGGGCGTGGATGCCGTAATCCTCGAGGCGCTGGGTGAACTTGAGGTTCTCCTCCATGAAAAGCTTGCGGGCGACGGCCAGCGTAGGGCCGTCCGTAACACGGATGCCCTCCTCAAACTGGGGCTCGATACCGGCATCCTCGAGCAGCTTGTTGAGCTGGGGACCAGCACCGTGGACAATAACCGGGTACAGGCCGACGTGATAGAGGAACGCCAAGCTGGCGCACAGCTCGTCGAGGTAATCGGTCAGAATGGCACCGCCAACCTTGATGACAGCAAACTTCTGAGACGAGACAGACGTAAAGTGTGAGAGGTACTGCTGGGCCTCGCGCTTGGAGCCAATGGAGCTGAGGGCCTGGATCATGAGACCACGGGTGCTGAGGTCGGTCTGGCGGGTGGACGACGTCGAGAGGGCGCGGCGCTGAGATGAGGAGGTCGTCGAGGCAGTGGCAGCCTTGACGGTCGCCAGGGAAGAGCGCTTGATCGAGAGCGAGGAGTGTGAACGAAGGGCAGCAGTCGAGACGGAGGAAGGCCGGGATCGGACGCAGCGGCGGGCGCCCGCCCGGAGGGCAACAGTGGTAGTGGACAGCATGGCGGCCTAATCGAGAGGAGAGCGCACGCGATTAAGAGAGACTATACCAATTGTCAAGCGACAACCATAAAAGAATCGAGGAGGAGGAAAAGGACGTAGGAGAAGACGGAGTGGGGGGCGACAGAGGAGGCGGAAATCCTCTGCCCTCTCGGCCGACTGGCAGGTCCGGTTGCTTGATGGCGGGCGGGGCTCGAGAAAGACGGGGATAAGCAGGAAGACGAAGGGGTCAGACAGTTGACGATGTCTGGCCAAAACAAAAGAAGAGGAGGAGGGAGGGAGGAAGAGAGAAGACCGGCGAGAAATAGGAGGAGGGAAACAGAAGGAACGAGGAGCGGGATATTCAACCTCTAGCGGAAACAGGGCAGGAGGAGTCAATCGGTGGTGGAAAGTGCGACCGGCAACCGAGAGTATGAAAAAATGACCGGCCAGGCACATGAGCCACGACCACTACAGGTAAGGTGCAAGAGAGCGCCTGGGCGCGCCAAAGAGGGGCACTTGTCGTAGCGTTAAAACCAGTCATAGGATAATGGGGGCTAAAAAAAAAAAAAAATAGCCCGCTTGATTGAGAAAAATTCGATCAGGGTACAAAATTCGGAGACCGATTTCGCTACCTTTTGGCGCATGACCTGTCACATGACTTCACCGTTTACCTTTTATTTACAAAATACGACAGTACAGTTTATCACCAGTTTTAAGAAGGATTCAAGGCTGAAAGGAACTACCAAAGAGACAAATAAAAAAACTCACGACACTGAAAACAAGGCAGTTACGTGGCCTACTCTGTGGGCCATATTATCCTGGTCGGTGAAGCAGCGCTAGAAATGTCCTTTGGTCCCCTCTGAGGCATCATTCATATCCCGAGCGGATCCTCCGTTATATGTCGGATCACGGTCAACTTCTACGATCTTACGGCCACGGCGCAGAAAACAACAATTGTGGTTAAAGGGCACAAGACGTACACGTAACGACTTTATTAATACGAGGGTAAACGCCTGTCAGCCATCATACATACAGAGTGTTGCCACTGCTCGATCGAGAAAGCAAGTCAAGGTTTGAGATGACAAGAATATTGCCTGGTGCGAATAGTGCCACACCTCATCTCTCCAAAACTTAACCTCCAAGACCAAGTAGCGGTAAACATAAAAGCAAAACTAGTGTGTTGATGACAAGATAACAAACCGACCGAAACCGACCATGATAGAACGGGGGTGTTGAGCATAAGGCACAGAATAACTAGTGAAAATCGTACAAGACGTACGAAACAAACAGAACCAAGACAACCCAGAAGATACCAGAGATTGAAATTGGGTAGAGAGGCGAGCTGCTCCTTTTTATTCCCGGCTCCCGTAGTTGCAGTCTTTCCAACGCTCAGTAAAAGATATAACAAAAAAGGCAATGATCATTCGTGATGAGGCGTGACCGTCCAGAACCAGCTTCCATGCCGCCAATCGTGCAGCCGGCGATGATGTCCTTGGAGCAGATTGTGACAATCCGTTCGTTGGGTTGGAACGCAGTTCGTCGCCGATGCCGTCACAAACGGTCTACTGCTGGAGGGTGGACAGGGGGTATCGAAGCAGCAAAGCCTTTGCGACGAGACGATCGACACATGGAAGAGGGCGGAGACGGTGTCGAAAACGAAAAGCACAAGTAATTGTGGAAACATTTTACTTGCGCGTGGCGACGACTGCCGGGACAACGATGACCAGGATGAGAATGATGATACCAGCAATCAGGCACATGCGCATCTTCATGTCCTTCCACCACATCTGCTTGCGCACGCGGTTGGCGCCACGGCGGAAGCCCTGGGCGGAGACGGCCAGGTTGTCAGTCTTGTCTTGCAGGGCATCGAGGCGCTCACCGCGCTGGGAGACCTTGTTGATGTTGTCGCGCATCACACCAACGGTGTCGTCGATTTGCTACAACGAGTTAGCAGTCATTCTAAGTATGTTATTAAGCAGTATGCGACGAGATAGGCTTGTCAAAGAGGCCGCTTCGCGGGCAGGAAATCGCTGTAGATCGCAAAAGTACTTTGCGCACGGTCCATGTTGTCGTTGTAAGAGAGTTGCCGACGCGAGAACGAGCGACGTATTAAAATTCATCAAAGCCACTGCTCGCCATCGCCATCGCCATCCTACCGACGTCGAAAATCATCTCCATCTCGAAAGGTCGGCGTTCCCGGGCATGGCGGCATCATCGCGGATGCATCGGGTCACCAGGCATCAGCATTTCGCTAGCCCGGCGGCTCATTCCGTGAACTCCGACGGTGCAGCCAAGTCCACGAACGCGGGTCGTGCGGAAAGCTTCGAAAAGCCAGTCCCAGCAAGCAACTTCATCAACGGCGACGCGTATGCGAACTGGTTTGGGAGAGCGTGTGGTGTGAATTGTTCGGCCAAGGTTGTGGCCCGGATCGATGGTGTTGCCGCACATGTTGCTTCCGCACGTCACCACGCACTAGGATTCCAGGTAATGCGAGCAGCCTCATTTGACAAGCAAGTCTCACCAAGAATCACAATCGAAAAGAAACATGAAAGAACCTACCGCTTGCAGCGCCTGTGTCCGCGATCCACCACCAGCGCCTTGTGCGGGAGCGGCCTCGCCGCTGGGGATGTAGGGGTCATAAGGGGCGTCCTCGGGCATCTTGTGTGGTTTTGGTGTGGGTGTGGGAGAATTAGGAGTGGGAGAGGCCGATGAACAAGGTCAAAAAAGCGAAGTCGGTAGAATAGATGTAGGGGGGAGCGATGCAAAGATGCGAAAACAGAGTTGCGATGTATTTTGGTTGGATCGGGAAGAGAATAGAATACGAAAGGGGAGAGAAGGAAAGAAGGAAGTGGACAGGAGAAGAGAACTAGGAAGAGGGAAAGTGGAAGGAATGACAGAAGGAAGGTACGGGAGTACAAATGGAGACGCCAGGGAGAGTAGAGGACCCCAACAGCGATAGAACTTGTCAGAAAACGGGGGCTTGGTGAGCGTGTGAGAGGGGCTGTAGCGCTGGAAGGCGCGTGAGTGTGGAGCCACAGAGTGATGCAACAGGGACGGATGGGCCCTGGAAAGATCTGTTCGCTGTCGCCGCGCCCGCCGCTGAAACTAAATGCACTCGCCGCCGCCCGTTTTAGAAACAAACATGAGTGGTTGGGGCGCTGGAAGGCCGCCCTGGCCTGGCCATTAGCGCCAAGTTTGGACAGGCTTCCAGCAACTGCGTATCTTACGACATTGTAGGAAACTGGCAGGGACGACCTAGGCCAAGCGAAACCAAGGCCTCGGCTGGGCCATTTGCACCTTCCTTGGACAGAGAGAGCGACTATTACGCTCGCGCTTGGACGGTCAACTGGACAAACGGCAGCAGGTGCGAGTGAAGAAGATAAAGAGGTCGCCCGCGCCAGCCAGCCCCAGCCACAACCTATACGCGGCAAGTACCCACGCTAGTGCTGAGAGGCAGTTTTCTGTAGGAACGGCAACAGAAGGTACATTGCCAGTTTTCTGTTTCATCGCCTTCGCTAACAAGCTTTGCACGCGAGGCGATGGAAGGCTGGAAAGAACATTCTTTCAACGCCTGGGGCGAAACACGGAAGAAGTCCAGGATTGAAAAGGAGCAAAAGAAATCGCAAAACAGAGTACTCCGTGAGTGCGAGAAATCGCTGTGACGATACCAAGGTCTTGGAGCTGAAATTACAGCCGCCTATCTCACTCTCTTACGAGGTGAGATTCCCCATACTCAGTAAAAAGTATTACATAGTCATGTCCTTTGGTACCTTGGGCGCCGGCCCCGGTAAAATGCGGCAGAATCCAAAAGAACGATGAAACAAACCTGCAACAAAATCCAGCCAGCGACAGGACAGTCAAGACAGCAGCAAGACCGGCCCGGGCACGGGAGTGGAGGATGAGAAACCAGAAAGACAAATGGGTAGGGGAGAGGGAGGAAGTAGACAAAATCGATTGGTAAATACGGCATGGCAACGGATGGCCCGGGTGTCGTGCAGTCGAGATAATCCCACGAGGCTTTAACAGGGGTGCGATACTTGTATATTGGTGTGTTTTTGGTGGGATCACAAGTACCCAGATCTCCACTTAGTGACGAGGCTACATTCCGCATGAGATCTCTCCCAAAAGAAATGCCGTTCGTCGACTGGGTAGCTTGCATGCCAGACAGCTTTTCTGCGGACACACTTATACCTGCAAGTACGACATACACGGCAGCTTCTTGAGCCGCTTGCTTTCTGGTAGAGCCTTCACAGAGCGAACGGACAAATGTCTTCACGGGCGCAGATAAGGATCATCAAGAGATCGCCAGGTACATCGAGCAGCTAGAGCAAGATGACAATGTCAAGTTCACACTCAAACGTCAATTGCCGCCGGTGGCCCTAAATGAATAGGTACACATATATAGACAGGAATAATTGAATTCTGAGAATGATGTGTAATATGAATATGCGCCAGGCCTTCCAATCATAAAATACAAACGTAAATATAAAACGTCAAGAAACAGAAGAACAAAATAGACTGCTATTGGTGAAAGGGCCACTGTCTGGTAGTGTTGAAACCAGAAGCAATATTATGGTCATCTCAACACTTGAAAAGAGATTCTACAGCGTCTTCTCGTCCTCGAGCGCCGTGGCCGTAGCAGAAGGCGTGGCCGACAGGGACTGCACGCTGCCCTGGCGCTTCCGCAGCACGTTCTCGATAAAGGCCTCGCCGGCCTTGTACGACGACCTCACCAACGGGCCGCTCGCGCAGTACAAGAAGCCCATGTCCAGAGCGCGCAGCCGCCACATTTCAAACTCGTCGGGCGTCACGTACCGCTCGACCTTGAGGTGGCGCTTCGTTGGCCGCATGTACTGCCCAAACGTAACAACATCCACGTTGGCCTTGCGCAGCTCCCGCAGCGCATCCCACACCTCGTCCTCCTGCTCGCCCAGACCCATCATGATGCTTGTCTTTGTGATCAGGCCGTTGGGCGTGTCCACGCCGCCGCCGCGCACCTCTTTGGCGTGCGCCAGCACCTTGAGGCTCTGCCGGAACGTTGCACGACGGTCGCGCACGTACGGCGTCAGGCCCTCGACCGTCTCAATGTTGTGTGCGTAGACGTCGAGTCCGCTCTCGGCCACAACCTGCACCATGTCGAGATCGCCGCGGAAGTCACCCGTGAGCGCCTCGACGAGCAGCGTCGACTTCTTGGCCTTGATCCGCCGGATCGTCTCGGCAAAGTGGTGCGCACCACCATCCGCCAGGTCGTCACGGTCGACGCTCGTCAGGACAACATAGCCCAGGCCCCAGCGCGCGAGCGCCTCGGCCGTGTTCTCCGGCTCGTGCGGGTCCAGCGGTGCCGGGGCGCGGTTGGTCTTGACGCTGCAGAAACGGCAGCCGCGGGTGCAGGTATCGCCCATGAGCATAATGGTGGCCGTCGCCGCCGCCCGCGACGAGCCGCCCCAGCACTCGCTCAAGTTGGGACAGCGCGCCTCCTCGCAGACGGTGTGCAGCCCCAGACCACGCAGGTCACTCTTGATCTTCTTGAGGTTCTCATTGGATCCTGGGTTGGGGAGGTCGGTCTTGAGCCACGACGGCAGGCGCGTGACCTTCTTCTTGCGACCGGCTGGGCCGACCTCGACGGTCTGCAGCTCATAGGCAGCGTTGACAGACAGGGGCTCGTCTGGTGCGGGGCCGCCAACAAAGGTGGCAAAGGACTCGACGGTCGTGTTTTTAAAGTATGTCGGCCTTGAGCGCTTGGTGACCCCGGCACCGACGGAAGAAGCAGAGGAGGAGGAGGAGGAGGGGGAGGAGGAGGAAGTCGTTGATACTGTAGAGGTCGGCGGGTTTGCCTCAGTCGCAAAGGATCGACGGGCGGATGCGGCGAGAGAGCGTGCCAAAGACCGCCGGAGCGGCGTGCCAAAATGGCGCACCGCTGGCAACGTAGAAGCCATCGTGTTGTGTGTATGTGTGAAGATGATGCTGTGCAAAGTAAACGCAAAAACAAAACGATGGTGCGGAAAACAATGTTGCCAGAAGAGGGTTAAGGCCAGGAGCGTTGACCGGCGACGACCGGACGAAATCGTTCCTTCCTGACAAGCTGACTGAAGTCAAATTTGTCATAGCGGAACACCGCCAATGTCAGAAATTATTAAAGACTAGCAGTGATTGGGCCTGGAACTGCCGCAAGTAGCCGCTACCGTACAGCGCCAATAAAGTCCTACGGAAGGGGCAGTGGGCCGTCGGGGAAAGGTGCTGCAGGCGCGAGAACGGAGTCCGTTCGCGTGCAGGGAGCATTTTGGCGGCTTTTGCTATGGAGCGCACGTGACCAACGCAACGAATTTTCGGGCGATTTTGAAAGCTCTCCACGCAGCTGGAATTGCACGACAAGACGACGAAGAAACGACAGCGAACGACGACATCCAGCACGAGGAGCCCACTCCTCATTTGAAATTGACGACTACATCTCATCTCCACCATGGTCCGTCCTCCGTCTTTCGCGCCGAGGAAGTGCGACCTGGGCTGCTTCGTCAACATCCGCACCATTCGTGACGATACCAAGCGCCACTTCTTTATGCGTCACGAAGCCGAGAGGTGCGTCCCAGCCCTGGTCAATTGATGAACCGTCGCTGTGTTATGCTCGTACTGACATGCCTGCTCTCCTTCAGACAAGCCCTCCGCCATATCATCCGCAACACAACCCTGTCACCACGCACACGTGCCGAGGCCCAGCTACAGCTGACCCAGATGCACGTCTACACGCGTCCGACACAGATCCGCAACCGGTGTATCCTGGGCGGCAAGAGTCGTGGTATTCTGCGAGACTTTAAGCTGTCACGAGTGAGTGACTGTCATTGCCATGGTCTTGGTCAAAGAGAAGAGTCAGCCACTAACCAATCAGTTCAACTTCCGTTTGCAGGCATTGAGCGGCAACCTGCCGGGCGTGAGGAAGGCTAGCTGGTAGAGAGCCAGACGCCGACGACCGACGATGGAGAAACACAACACGGCAAGAGGAAGAATACCTTGATGCAGGAGGAAGAGCTGTACGATATGACAAACCGATGGTGTCGATGCTGCGATGGACGCATCGGAGCAAGTGGCAGTGCCTGCTCTGCGGACTGTATATAACTGCCGATACATCCCCCAAAACATGATGAATATACGAACACAAGAGAAAATAAATATAACAATCAGTGAAAAGCAGACTTTTGGCTTGGTTTGGTGGATCGTACGTCTGGCTCGTAAATATGAGATACTTGGTACCAGTGAGTGAGTCAACAATACGGACATGCTCGTCACTTTACGAAATACGCATCGCTGAGAGTCGCGTCAGTCTCTTCCAATCGAAACATAGATCTTGGCAGTGTCTTCATAACTCTTCATAACCTGCCTCCTTGTATTCCGAGTGCACCTGCCGGCTGGACAAACGACCACAATCACTCCGGGAAGGAACGATGGCCGTTTGCTCCTTCCTGTTCCTGCGCCTTCCATCATTGATAGTCCCTGAACGTCAAACATCGGCACTCCCTTCCCATAATACAACTGCAAATTTTTCTCTTCTTCACATTCTTTCTTCGTCATCAATTGCCGAGCACTAAACTTTCACGCACATCACCATCACATCGCATCTCAACGATGTTCCGCCGGCTGTGGACGGGCTTGCCCGACATGCCAAA